CACTGCATTTCTGAGTACTCGGTGGGCATCTTCTTACTTACTGACCGTTCATGTCCCTTCCTCTGTGAAATGCCAGTTATGGAGCTGTTTCTCCTTGCTGAAAATAGTCATTTAAAAAATATTCTGACTACAGACTCTTTGTAGCTATCTGTAATGCAAACATCTTCTCCAGATGTGGGGCTGCTCTTATCTCTTTCTGATGCTCCCTCTGATTAACAGAGGTTTTTAATTTTAATATCACTGAATTTATTATTTCATACATTTGCATTTATATTTTTTTAAATAACTTCCCTTACTCTAAGATAAAAACAAAAAAGTTCTACATTTTCTTCTAACTTTTTAAAGTTCTGCTTTTCACATTAAGATACTAATCCACTTTGAACTATTTATATGTTGATGTGAGGTAGGATTCAATATAATTTTTTCCATATAAGTAACTAAATGACCACAAATTGAACAATCCACATTTACCTCAAATGTACTTCAACTCTACCTCTGAAACACATCAAGTTTCTCCACATACACAGGTGGTCTGTTTCTGGGCTTTCAACTCGATGCTATTTATTGGTCTAGTTGTCCATCTCAGTGGTTCTCAACCAGAATCAGATTTTGCACTAATCATTTGGCCACAATCACGCCACCCCCACCACCAAAGAAATATCCCTCCAAAATGTCAATGGTATCTGCTCAGACTCCCTAGGCTAACCCAATGCAGTCAATAATTACAACTGCTTCACTTTGTTTTTACAGTCACAGGTTTTCTGAGTTCCTTCTACAGCACCAAAAGTAAGTCACTTTTTGCAACAACTTCACTGCATGGCTGTAACTAGTACACATATGAATAGATTCTCTTTCAACAGAGATTTAGATTAACAATTTTTGTTTTGTTATTACCAACAATGCTGCAACAAATATTCTTGCCCACATTTTCTCTAAAACTGTATCTTCAGGCCAAATATTCACAACTAGAATCGTGAGTCAAAAGGTATAATGAATTTTAATTTCAGTTGACAGTGCCAAGTGGCTTTACATAGAAATAACAGCTTACCAAAACTGTTTAACATCATCTATTTTCCCATATCTTTGCCAAACTAGTTTTTATTCAAACTTTGAATTCTTTACCAACCTTGCAAGTAAAATTTTAACTGCATTTCTTTAATTATAAATGAGGCTGAGTAATTTTTGTTTTGCTTATTGACCTTGTGCATTTCATTTACTCTGATATGCTTATCTGGGGCCTATTTTCCTCCGGGAGTAAATATTTTTCTTATTGGCAGAGTAAAACTCTTACTAGTACTTCAACTAAATATGACACAAATATTTCGCCCTTAGTGTGTCATTAAAAAAAAAACTTTGTGAAAAAGAATTTTGTCATCAAGAAGTATTTCATTTTTATGTACTCAAATTTATCAAAACTTCCCTTGTAATTTCTGGATTTTCTCTTATGTTTAGAAAGGTCTTTTCAAGCCAATGAATTGTCATTATATGAGTAATACTATTAAAACAAACTCCTCTGCTTACATTTTCTGCCTTGGAATTAGATTTGCTAATTCAGCATTACGCTGCACTGGGTTACATTTCATTTAGCATTTAACACCTCCTAAGAATAGCTTAATATTCTTAAAAATTAAATATATTATGATATGATCCAATTTGGATCTCCAAAATGAGATGCTTTGTATTCTGACCTGCAGAAGCCTCATATTAGTTTGATACCAAATAAAAATATAGTAGTAACAGTTTCTTGTAGGAGAGTAAATTCTTTAGACACTATAAATAAAACTGGATGCAGAACAGATTTCCATCTTGACAATTCCATCTTAAAGAAAAAAGTTAGACTGACAAATTTTGAGATTTATATTCAGTAGTACAAAAAGGTCTACAATTATTAAAAAACTAACCAGGGAGAACAATTGATTTCAATCATCTTTGGGTATCTTTTACACACAAACCTGTCACTTTGAATAACAAACAAGATCCTTCACTGTTTTGCTGTTCAGTTGCTAAGTCGAAACTAACTCTCTGCAACCCACCAGGCTCTCCTGTCCTTCAATGAATGGTCCTCAAATATTTAGGAAATTTATTTTTATTCAGGGTGAAATTTTTTACCACCAAAACCAGTTTTTAATAATTTTATTATTCTTACAAATATGATAAATTAGTATAATTACATTGTCATAATGTAAGGAGCTTCCTTTGGGGCTCAGATAGTAAAGAATCTGCCTACAATGCAGGAGACCTGGATTCAATCCCTGGCTCAGGAAGATCCCCTGGAGAAGGAATGGCAACCCACTCCAATATTCTTGCCTGGAGAATCCCATGGACAGAGGAGTCTGGAAGGCTACAGTCAATGGAGTTGCAAAGAGTTGGACATGACTGAGTGACTAATACACACAATGTGAGGAGCAGCCAAGAGATAGACTTGGAAAATATTTTGTATCTTTCATAAAGTCTGACCTAGAGAACATTCTGAGATCAAAATTTTCAAATAAACAGCACCAACATTTTGCTGATGACTTCCCAAAACCAAATTATCTGTAACACAGTAGTATGGTCTTAACTGAAGTATAAAAATTTTGTTTAAAAGCTATTAATACCATGTTTACCAGTAGCTAACAATTAAATGTTCCTTACTAGATTCCAGATACTGTTATAAGAGCATAAAGCCTTACTTATTGCCCTTAACACTCTATAAGAGAGATACAATATTATGGTTCATCTTCAAAAAGGTAAAGAAAAGAGGCACGCAGGTAAGTAACTTGACAGAAGTCACATTCTTATTTAACCTGTCAAATACTAACTTCCATCATTTGCTACAAAAATAAGAAGCATGGATATAGTACAAAGAAAATACCAGTTCAATGTTCTTGAACTACAAGAGTTAATCAAAGAAAATACTCGTTTAAAGCTCCCTAGCCTGACGCTCAACCATGAGCACCCCGCATTGAAGCATCTGGTGTACAGGCCAGAACATTCAAGGCACTGGCTATGCTGCTGCCAGAATGACTTTGTGAATCCTCTCTAACCCAGTTTTGGGGTTTTTTGGGGTTTTTTTTGGCTCCTCCTCCTTGGCCTCCTGCCTCCTCTCAAAGCAGACTAGGGAAAGCCCCTCCTACCACCCTCAAATCTGTTACACTTGTTATTTATTGCCCAAGACAGAAAATTTCATGAAGTTTTCTAGGAGTCTGTTAGCTTCTACTCTCTAGCAAACTTTCTTTTCTCCTATGAGGTTCAGGAATAGAAATGATCAATGTTCTCCATTTCTCAGTCTCCCCACCCCAGGAATCAGCACAAGTACTGACTACAGGCATGTATGTTATGTCATCAATTAAGGTGTAGAGGTGTGTGTGTGGGGGGGTGGGTTGGCAGTCATGAGTTCAGCTGGGACCACCTTTCTACTTATATAATGAAACAAGCAACTGCCTTATTGTAATGAGGAACTTCTAAATGACAGGAATAAAATGCTTTCCCAACAGGTCCCTGTTCTTATTCATTTCACTGTAACATTATTTAACTAACTTCATTTTTATCCCCCTCAAATATCAGGATTAAACAAAATATGTTAAGTACAAAACATTAAGGTTGCTAATTCTCTTTTTATATTGTGGTAGAAAACAGTAGTTTCAGGTGAATAATATAATGATTCACTATTTCAATATACTGGAAATCACACAGCTCCATTTTTGCTACAAATGATGAGGGCATCACATTTTTGCAGCAGTAAGTGGGATTACGTTACTGACAAGTCTTGTGCTAAGGAACATCACATTCACATTTGTTAGTTTTAAGGCCTAGCGTTATGATCATTATTATACCATTCTGTATCTGGATTATAGCTGTACTGAGGAAGAAAATGAGGCACCCCTGATGTCTTAAGACAACGTTAAGACTAGGATCTTGCTGTGTATCAACCTCTAGAACTTTCAGTTTCCTCACCTGTAAAATGAAACTATTCGTAACACCACCCAACTTCCTTTGAGGGATTTTTGAAAGTCAGGTTAGATAATACCAGTGAAAATGCACTGCAAAAGTAAAGTATCAAAAAATGTCAAGGATTGTTATTTATCGCTGAAAAGAAAACTCAATATTATTTTTTAAAAGAATAAAGTAGCAACAGATGGCTTCTAACTCAGACAGGCTTAGAAAGGATCTCACCATCCGCTTGTCCTCAGCAACACTTCAAAAGAACTACCTCACTAAAACCTGACACCCTGATTACTTCATCAACAAAATCTGCCACGTTTCAATTCCTTAAAAACTTAAACAGAAATGCTTCTCACTCCGGCAATGCAAGAGAAAACGGGGAATGAAATACAACATGCTTTTCACACTCCACTGTTATACAACGAAGATACTGATTTTCATAAATCTCATCAGTTTCTAGCCACCTTTTTATAACCGTTCTCAATAACTTCTCCTCTAAAATTTTAGGACTCATTACCAAGTATCACCTTCTTCATGAAGGTCTTTGGCAAGTCTCAAGATTTGACATTCTCTTTCGTGTGGGTGTCATTCAGACAACACACGAATACTGCGCATTTTGGAAAGAGGGAAACTGAGGCCCAGGCCTTGGCACGACGAGCCCAAGGTCACACACGGCGAGATGGCAAAACGTAAGCAGAGGTGCTGCTTTTCCAAGGCTGTCCATAGGACGCGGTGAGACAGGACTCACTCCCCAAGAGAGCAGCAGGCACAGGGCCACAGCTCGCACATCGCTGTTTCCTCCCCACCCTCACTCAAGAGGCAAAAACCAACAGGAGGCTGACTCGCCGGGAGGACCACTCTGCTGTCAACTCCGACACAAGTGTCATCTCCTCCTCCCGCCCGGCCCACAAAGACGCCGCGCCCCCCCGACTCGGGGTGGTGGGTAAACGAAACTAGTTGACACACACACGCCCCCACCCCACCCCCCCATCCACCTGCGCACAGCCGCCCTCCCCCTCCTGCACTTATCGACCCGCTGAGCAGTCCCCGGACGCATCCTACCCCGTTCCCCTCACCAAGGAGCCGGAGGAAGATCTGGAGTCCAATGCAGAACCGGCTTTGGCTGGGATCGTGGTAGGAGTTGAAAATGGCGTCGATGATGTAGAGGCAGGGCACCCGGAGCGCCACTTCGAGCGCCGCCCAGACCTGCTGTTGGGCCATCCGCACCTGCTGCTGCGGGGGCCCCACCGCCGCCATGAGCCGCTGCCACACCGGGGCTGGGCGGGCCGGGCAAGGCCGCGCGGGGCAGGGCCCGGGACCGCGGCCGGGGGCGGAGGCGAAGGCAGGCGACTCCGCCCCCGCCCTCCCTCCCTCCTCTCGTGTCTCTCTCACGGCCCGCCCCGCCGCCCGCTCGCGTCTCTCGAGCTGGAGCAGGCGGCGGAGGCGGCGGCTGAGGCAGCGGCGGCGGCTCCCGGGAGGCCTCCGGGTGTCGGTGTTTCCGGCCGGCTACGGTCTGGCTCCTCCTCCCTCCACCGCCTCCCCCGCCCGCGGAGCCACCATCTTGACCTCGCCCGCCCGCCTCTGCCGTTGCTGCTGTTGCCAGACCGGGAGGCCGCGCCCGCGGTCACGCGAGACCGCGGAGCCCGCGCGCCGACGCTCGCGTCATAATCCGGCGCTAGGGGCGCTCCCCGTGCAGTCATCACGCTCGGCGTAGCAGACGTCCCTCTCGTTGCCATGGTTTCTGCGCCTTCGCGGCTTTTGGCGCCACCTAGTGGCGCAACCTCCGGGTAGCCGCCTCACCCCTAGAAGCGTCGGGACAAGTGTGGATTTCCCTGCTTCCGTGGGCGGGAATTATTTGTTACTTTAATAGAGCCCATTAAACGTCCCATAAACATGATTCAGAGCTGCTGGGAGTTGGAAAGCCAAAAGGCGCCGCCCGCCAGAGCCACTCAACTCCACGGACAGGCCGGGTCTGAGTGGCCGACCTTCCGGCCAAGATGCTACCAGGCCGCCTGGGGTTCTGTTGCAGGCGTCGCTGCTCGCGGGTTATGGAGCAGACGCTGTGGTTTGGGCTGGGTGTGGTAAGCGATACCGAGAAAAACATACCTTTGCACATTATCCTTCCTGTCTCCTACCCGATTGGGCAGAACTGCGGACACTAATTGGCCACATTAGTATTATGTAAAGGGCAAGACCTCTGGCCTTGGTATTTAGGTCACATCTTTGAGGTATGAACACCCAGGCAATCCCTTCTCAAGGCGGAAGAGACCGTACTTTTTAATGTTTCTGTGGGGGATTAGAACATAAGACCAAAATAAGACACTTTGACATGATTATTTTAAGCTGAAGATAGTTGAGACACAGCAGGAACAAACAAAAAGCTCTCCACCTCAGCAGTTACCCCTTCTATTTGCCTAAATGATCTTAATTTCGTGAAAGTCGCTCACTTGTGTCCGACTCTTTGCCTGGAATTTTCCAGGCCGGAGTACTGGAATGGATAGCCATTCCTTTTTCCAGGGGATCTTCCCAACAGGTCTCCCACATTGCAGGCAGATTCTTTACCAGCTGAGCCACAAGGGAAGCCCCAAGAATAAGGGAGTGGGTAGCCTATTCCTTCTCCAAGGGGATCTTCCCGATCCAGGAATCAAACCGGAGTCTCCTGCATTGCAGGCAAATTCTTTACCATCTGATCTATCAGGGAAGTCCTCCATTTGCCTAATAATCAGACGTAAATTTCTACTGGTAAAGTTGTGTCCCGCCCCCTTACCAAGAGGACAGCTCAGACTCAAAACACCCTCAAACCTTATTAAACTAATCCTTATCTTCCATTAGTTTTCCCATATGTTTACCTTCCCAGAGTTTGCCATCCTTGAAAGCCTAAACCCCTTTTCCTTTTATCCATTTCTCTACAATACATGGTTCTTTGTTAAGATGGTGTATAAGCCCCAAACTGTAGCCACCTCGTTGAGTTATTCAACACTTAGCTTCTCCCAGGCGTCTGTGCACCGCGTGAGTCAATAAACTCTTCTTTTTCTCTTGTTAATTTTATTTTAATTTTTATTTTATCAGTTTAATTTCCAGGACCCCAGGCACAGAACCTAGGAAAAGGTGTTTGTCTCTCCCGTACACTTTCTTATCCATGTTTTAACAGTTTCTGATTTAAATCTGATGCACAGATTTTTATTAGTGTAAGAATTTCTAATTAAAACTAAATACCACCTTGGGACCAGAACTTTCAGGGTGGTGGCACAGTTGTTTTTTCAGATACGACTTCAAGCAAGTCTCTTTAAACTCACTAGATCTCACTTTCCCCATCTGTAAAAATGAAGGTTTGAATAAGATCCTGGCAAGGACTTTAAAATACTACCTTAAAATTAACTTATATGAGTGAAGTAGTTTTTAGAAAAATTTTAGGAATTTTGAAGATAAAAGATAAGCTTTCAAAGAAATAGCTGCAATTCACTGAATCTAATCTCTCTAGCTTCTACATTGGTTTGAATGTTGCACAGCTCATGTATATAGTAAACTGAGTCTACCCAGAACAATAATGTGGTGTCTATGTATTAATAAATTACCCATGTTCAAAAATAAAATTGTTTCATTTGACATTAGTGGTTCAAAAGCCTTTCAGTAGCTCTAAAGAGCCCTTAGATGTAGAATATGTAAAACTTAGTTTGAATTTTCAGTTTATATTTTCATCAGCCAAGTCTTTGTTACATGCAACAGGAACTGATTCTGGGCTATCTGAAGCAAAAGATTTTATTAGAGAATTGTTTTAATTATTTCCTCAAGATTTCAAGCTCCAAGAGTGACCATGCAATTGGTCAAGCTTATTGGATTATATATCTGTACCCAGGGCTTCCCAGGTAGCACAGTGGTAAAGAATCTGCCTGCCAATGCAGGAGACGCAAAAAATGCAGGTTCGATCCCTGAGTGGAGAAGATCCCCTGGAGAAGGAAATTGCAACCCACTGCAATATTCTTGCCTGGAAAATCCCATGGACAGAGGAGCCTGGGGGACTGGAATTGCAAAAGAGTCAGACACCCCTGAGCACACACACAGGCATCTGTACGGAAGCTGCACCAGAGGGTAGACACAAGCAGCTCCCTTAGTGGAAGAAAACCATAGGAAACCAGCACATAGGATTCCCGCCCCCCCCCCATGTATTATGTATTTTTTCCTCTGAATGAAAGATGGGGGTGCTGGTAGGAAGGGTAGGGATTGATAGCCCCCCCAAAGGATAAGTACATACCGTAACTTTATCTCAGACCTTGGGAATTAATTAAGAAATAATCTCTGATCCTAAATTATTTTATAGTTTTTCTCATTAAATTTCAGATACACTCATCAAGACCAGTGAATCCCATGGCCATGTGCCCACTGAAACACCACCTGCTGTAAAGCGGGTCCCTAGGTCAAAGGCCGTATTATGCAGGACACATTGATGGATCAAACACTGGAAATCATTGGCTAAGTAGTCTGACCAACACCCTGTGGACAGGAAAGGCAAACCCATACCTGGAGATGGGAAGATTTAGTCAGGGTCAATCACTGTCCTTCCAGGATAGGCGTCCAGTGTAATCAACTTGCTATCAAGCAGATGATGTACGAGGCGCTCAGGGCTGAACATGAGGGAGTGGCCAGCTAGTGAGTGGAGACCATGTTGTTGGCCTCTCAATAACCTGCATTTCTGGACATGACTATGTACGTGAGCCGATTATGCCAGTACTGGGTTAGCTGGTGATGCGGCTGCTGGTTAACTGGCCACGCCTGTTTACTTGGTTGTTGAGTGCCTCTACTGTGGTGGACTGTCCCCAGTAGGCATTGTTATACAACCCAAAGCTCTTTACTTACATGCCCAAGCCCATAGATGTCTCCGCTGCTTCTTCTCCAGGCTTCCTAGTCCCAGATCTTTTTCATTCCAGGCCCCTAATCCCCTAGCCATCTTATTTGCCACTTGCCAAGAAGCTCTGTTCTTACTTCAAGCCACTTCCCTTTCCACACAAAATGGATGATCAGGAATACTTGCCCCAGGTTCCCCTACCACTTAACAGTACTGAGTAGGACTGTAGGGCAGCAAAAGCCTGTTTTCGTTTTGAACCCATATCCCAACAAACCAATCTGTGAAGTTAGCTTGGGCTTTTTTGGCCTCCGTCAGCTAGACAAAGAGCCTCTCAAGCAGCCTCAGCTGTGAGTCGTGGGAGGGACCGTGGTGCGAAACTTCTAAGTACGACATGGGAGCCTGGGCTGCCTGCCTGTGCACCTAATTTCCCCTGGCCATACTTGTCATCAATCCCAGGAATACCACTTCCACCTTACAATGGATTGACTTGGTGGGTCTGACAAAACTTAGGGCAACTTGGGCTATCGGGTTGCTTGATGCCCCACCAGATGCTCAGTTTCTACCAAGGCCCATCAGCAGGCAAGGAGCCATTTGTGAATGACATGTTCTCCACTGCAGATTCCTTGGCCTTGCTACAGAAACTAGAAGTCTACCTTGGGATTCTCCAATTGGAGTCTGCCATAAACTCCTATGACTGCTTTGCTTACCAGGCACTCCTGTCCTGTAGAAAATCTGCCATATCAAATGGCTCATGCGTGAAAGCTGATGACACTGCAGCCTGTGCCTGCTACAGAGCCTTTCTGTGCTCTGCATCCCCCCGAAAACTGGCAGCCTTTCAGTCACCCAGTGTATGAATCCAAGCAGTATTCCCAGTTCTGAATTCCCACAAAGACTGGAGCTGGATGTGCTTCCTTGGTGGCAGAGTAATACTGATAAAATGAGTGCGATGCAAAAAGTCATTCTTTATTGTGGAGACATCTTGACATTCAAGCAGACCACCGGACCTTAAAAATTTCACCGATGTAAAAAGGATGCTGTTTCCTACTAGTGATTATTTCTTATCCTTGGGACTACAATATGCTACCTACATATCTGGCCCAAGTAGTAATGATGTCACGAATGTAATAGTGACATTCTGTGGAAGGTTCAGATGGTCCAGGTCTCTCCAGACTATGTCATGACAGAGGGTGGGTGGGTACTGCTCTCTGTCCTGTATGAACACAGTTGCTTCTGACCCCACATCCTCAGGCCCAGTTCCAGACTCATGGCTCCTGTTGGTACATGTAGGTTAGGTCCTGAATCTCCTCTGGCACATAGGCCCACTTGAGCATGTTGAAAGTAGACAAAGTGAAGGGAAATGAGCTTAAGAACTGTTTTTTTTTAAAAATAAGAGTATGCATAGCTTTGATTTTAAAATAAAACTCAATTACTCAGTCTATCCATCTATATCTACCTGCCTAAACATGTTATACCAAAATTCAGTTTTAGCTTCACATTCAACATTTTCTGCTTGCTTGTGATTCAACCTTGACCTCTTAAACACCCAGAGGCAGATACCTGTTTTCTCACTGTTTCTGGCCTCTCTGAAATCGTGTGTGATCGTTGGTCAAGAAATCTTGCAAGTTATCATATCTAATCAGAAAGATGTCACTGCTAAAACATAATTGTAGCAAGAAATTCTTATGTGCTTTACATATTGAAACATGTCAACTGAAGTGCATTATGTATATTTATTATTGCTAGAGTGAATTTCTGCAATGATTGTGAAAGCTGTACATTTACGTATAAAACAATTATTGTAAACTTCTAAACAGTTCAAAAAAAAGACTAGACAAAATTTATGAAACAGTGCAAGCCACTGGACACAGGCAATGAAGGGGGCAATGTCCACGAGAGCTGGAAAACAAAGTGAGCCACATAGCTGCTTCGGCCCACTGCCTGGAGAAGTGTTCTAGGCTGTGGCACAAGAAGGGGAGGCCAGCAGACCCCCTGTGGCGAGGAGACGGGACTCAGAGTCCTGGGAGCCCAAGCAACTACAGAGCCCACAAGGCAGAATGCCCGGAAGCAGAGAGGCACACACAGAGAGGACTCCAGAGGTCTGCTGACCAGGCCCTAAAAGCGTTCAGTTGAGTGATGACCAGCCCACGTGATAGGAAACTACCGAAGGCCAACAGAAGAACCATGCGAAAGAATTACAGGAGACAATACTCAGAGCTCACACACACAGGGTGCTGGGTAATTCCTGTTCCTACCGGTAAGAGTGGCAAATGTCCTAATTCACAAGGTATCAGTCAAAGAATGAAGAAAGGTCTTGCTTCATGATGTAAAAAAATTCATCCCAGACTAAATGCTGCTCTGACAAATGCTCAAAAACAAGATTCAAAAAGATCAAACTGTTCAAGTAACTTAACTGTATTCCAGAACAAAACTTAAAAATGTTCTTAGAAATATGAAAATAGTTTTAATCATTTTAAATAATAGTTCAGCTTGAAAATGACTATTTTAATGGCTTGTCCAGTGTGAAGTGGCTGCACCCTGAGGCTGTTCAGAATGACATATATTGAGTTTCTTCTCATATGTGCGTTCAGGGTGGGAAAAACTGAAATTAAAAACGCTTTTTCTAAGAGAAAAATGATCTCATAAGCCCTGTATTTCCATTCCAGTTAAATCCTGATTCATGTAGTTCATTAATGTATATCAAATGTATTATGCAAAATGGAATAATTATTAAAACTAATGCCATCCATTATGCTTAAAAAAAATCACTAAAGATGTGGTTTAAATTGAAAAAAAAAACCAACACTTTTCTACATACTAGTTTCTCATCATTTTAAATTTGCATATTTAAAATTATACATGATACTGGTATATTAATACAAGTATATAATTTATTAAAATTATGGAGTTAATGAATACAGTTCATGGTTAAGAGTTTGATAAAATCATTGCTTTTTAATCACAACGTCTCCATCAAGTGGGAGCATTAATCAGCAACTAATACCGACACCTGCAAAGGAAAGCTTTAGCGCTTCTATAAATTCCTGGATTGAATCTGTAAGGACTCTGTGAGCCTCCTGACTCCTTTAGTCTTTCCTTGGTTCAGTTAGACGTCTCTTCCGGGTCAGGCCATCCAGCAAGTGCTTGGAGAAAACTGTAATGTAAATGGATATACTCAATTGGAGAAAAAGGATAAGGGACCCTTATTTTCTCCCATTCACACACAACTCCTGCTCACTCTGGAACTTTCAGCCTAGGCATCCCTGCTCCCACCTTCCCAGTCACCCTCTTCACCCCCCCCAACCCAGATCCCCAAATGTGGGAGGTGCCTCCCGACGTGTGCCTGTAAAAGCCCATTTGTTTCCGTATGTGTGCTCAGTAACGGTACTGAAGTTGTTTCCCCCGTGTCTATGTCGCCAGATGGTGATTCCATGTAGGCAGGACTCGGCTGTGTCCCTGGCCCTCTACCCAGTGCCTGATGTGGAGAATTCACAGAACATCCTCATTAGCCAGTGAATGGCTTTCAAAATATGAACCTTCTGCTATAAGTAAAGCAGACGTGTAGCAATCACTCACGGGCGAACTGGGAAATGGTAGTTACCCTGACACAAAGACTGACGGAAATATTCACGATATACTGGTCACTGTGATGACAATTACCGCATGTTAACTCATTTAAACTCAAACACCTTCATTTCAGGACACGTTCAGTTGTTAACTCCAACCTACAGATGAGGAAACGAAATCGTGAAAGATTCACGATTTGCCTCAGGTCACACTTCTGTGTAGACCTGCCAGGAAATGAATGAGTGAACCTGAATTCCATGAAGGCAGAGCCCACGTCTCCCTTTCCCACTAATACTCCGGGCCTGGTGTGCAGAACAAGGTGAGTGAATTCACTTGGGTGCACCTGACGTGAGCTGCCTCTCCCACACCTTACAGCAGGAAGGCAGCGCCTAGCCCCTGGGCAGGTGGCTCCCTGACTCATTCCTCAGTTTCTCCCCCACCTCCCTCCTCATATTGGCTCAAGCCCCAGCCTGCCATCTTGAGCTTAAGGAGAGAAAGTAGTAGGCACCCATGTGAGAAGAAACCCAGTGTGTGAAAGAGGAAGTGATGAAAGCAATCCCAGGAAGGCTGCTCTGTGGGATGGGAATGGAATCCAGGCGCCCTCTGCAGGATCACGTGACTGCCAGAATTCCCTGGGGGCCTGCCCTGCACCAGACACTGTTCCTTTTAATCCTTACATCAACCCTCATCTTCAGCATGCCTCTCACTGCTGCTGCTGTTCCAAACCGATCTACTGGCAACGCTCCAAACACTCTTGGAGCAAACTGGCACCTGTTAGTCTCTTCAAGCAGCACCTGCTTCCACACCAACTCCACTTAACAAAATCTTGCCCAGTTTTTAAGAGCCACTTCAAACACTACCTCTCTGAAGACCTCCCCATTCAATTCTCAGAGCTTTTCTTCCCCACTTTCACACTCCCACAACTATCACCCACATGGACACATACTGTGTCCCAACTTTTTCTGCATTTGTGTAAGGTCTGCTGCTAGCTTGGGAGTTCCTCAGAGACAGCATCTAATGTCTCTTCATATTTCCTTTAGCTCCTGTGGACAGCAGGCATTTAATATTTGCAAAATGACACAAATAGCAGCAATACTGCCACCACTGCAAGAGAAGGACAGGCAGCCCAGCCCAATGCCAGGTACAATCACAATCCTGAGAAAGCCACACTTTGTTTTTTTTTTTTGGCCAGGCCACACAGCTCTTGGGATCTTGGTTCCCTGACCAAGGAATGAAGCCAGGCCACAGTAGTAAAAGCCTGGGCCACTAGGCCACCATGAATTCCCAAGCCACACTTCTCTGTATTTCTTTCATCAGGCAAACAGGCCCATATGGCTTCAAAGTGCCCCAAAACAAAGCTCTGAAAGGTGATTCTTAACTATTAGTCACCCCAAAGGTAAACTGACTCCCTACAATTAGTCATTCCAACAGTAAACCGAGGTGAGGCCTGGAAAACTCACAATCTCCGACATTCCTTAGGGCTCCTTATGCTGGCCCTGATGTTGCCAGGAAGGAAGATGGAAAGGGAATTTGCGGCCTGTAAAGATCCTCAATTTTAACTCAAACTTTAAAAAATATCTAGCAATTGGCAGCTACTGCACAAGCTACAGCTGGAAATCTAGTTTTCCTATCATTTAATGTAGTCGTTCTTTAACACTTTCTCTACCACAATAAACCTAACCTAAGATACACTCTCCCCACCCTGCTCCCCACACACTCATTTAGGCATGCTAAAGTAGGGAACTGAGTCAGTACACTGGAGTAATTGTTGTCTTCATCCCTCCCTAATTTAGTCAGTCATAATAGCCAAGCAGCACCACTCTGTCTTGCTTTGGACGCCACTGCTTAGGCCCATCGATTTTATTTCTCAAGTCCATTCTCCTCCCACTGCCACCACCCTAGTCCAAGCCACCATCTCATGCCTCAACAACTACAGAAGCCCTGCTCACCCATCTCCCTGCTTCCATCCTGGCACCACTCCAGGCAAGTTCCCACATGACAGCTGCAATGATTTTGAAAACGGCATTGTGTCTTCCACTTTAAAATAACTAATGCCCTGTGTACAACTGTCTATTAGGTAATAAGCATGTAAAACCATACATGGAAAACCTCATTTTGCAAATGAGAAAATCCTAGGCCAAAAAGAATATTAAAACCTGGGTCAGACAGACAGAGCCAAGGTCAGAATTCAGAACTTGTAACTGCGCAGACAGTTCTCATTTTAATGAGCCACACTGCTTTCTCCCACCTATGTGGCTCATTCTGTAGTGTGTTAATGGAAATTGTATGTATTGATTGAGGGCCTGCTTTCAGGGTCACAAAATGTTAGATTACCAGGAGACAAGAGGGGTGAGACCCGGCCTGAGCTGATGTTTTCAGGGTCACTCACAAGTAGATCCTCCCGTCTCAGGATCCATCTCCTCTAGTCAACTAGAGGACAGGGGCGGCATTCCAAATCCAGGACTATGTGATCCACGTGGGGAGCATAGGATTTCACTGGTTGGATGTGCAAGATTTGTGTCTTCCACGGTTTTCGATGCACCTGATGAAGAAGAGTGGCAATTCGAGTCTCTGCAGCTTCGGCCCACCTCTGCCACTCTGGCTTGGTGGCCACTGACAGTGTTTTCCTCCTAGAATCACTGGGAGCTCCATTTTTCAACTGGGTGCTGATAATCTGCTGAGGAGAAGGCCAATGCTCTTCCATCTCGCTGCTTCCAGGAGGCTGGAGAGTCTTCCCTGGGAAAGACTCCACATTTTGGTGAATATGCAAAATGCCTCCAGCATCCTGTTTTAGCACTCGGCAGGCAATGGGCCAGCCTTCTTCAGAGCTGGGAATCAGCCCCAGATTCACCCGGTCCGCAACGTTTGATAGCTTCAGTTTTCTGTTATCCCCAAAGTGTATTTGGCATCGATCAGCTACTCCATTGAGGTCAAGGTTATTTCTCAGAGCAACTACCGCATGGGGATTCCACTCACAAGCATGGACGAAAGCAGCCTCGGCATGAACTAGGAAAGGCAAGGTAAAATAACCAATCCCCGCATAGAGATCCACCAGCACTTCTCCGGCGCAGGGCAGCGACGCCACACGAAGCTTCTCAGTGATGTTTCCGAAGGAGAACATGCACTGGGTCACGTCAAACTTATACCGAATCCCATTATCCACATGCTCTACCCAGCCGTGGTCGCCCAGCAGCATCCTCACTGCTGGAGTCCGAGTGCTATCCGGGGACACCCGCCCTCGTTTGGCCAAACGCTGGACGCCAAGTGCCGAGGCAACCGTCTCCCAGAGTTCCGGTTCCAGATGTCTCCATTGCTTGGCTTGGAAACAGTCCTCACTCAGCAACAAGAGGTCACCGTGTCGTTGCCAAGATCGGGGCAGGTCAGCCTCCAACTCGGCCGACCACGTCACTCCACGGCCCTCTACCCAGCGACTCACCTCAAGACACAGCCTTTGGGCAGGTGAGTAACTCTGGGCCTTCTTTGAAGGAACAGGATCCAGGAGCTGCGTCAGCACACAGGTGCTGCCTGGAGCCACACGATTCCTCAGCTCCCGCAGATGCTGCTCAAGGAGGACCTCTCTCAGAACCGGTAGCGCCACGGTGCCATCCCGCAGCTTTTTCACACGGTGTTGTCGATCCAGGAGTTTCTGCTTCTCGAGATATTTCCTGTATTGCTGGGTAAATCGAGGCTCAGTCACAACTGCAACAACAGCCGTGGGCTTCCCGCCTGCCCCTTCCATGTTGTTGTTGGCCCCACATTCTCTCCGACTCCTTCCACGAAACTCCCTCTGCTCTGCCTCTACACATGCACGCATAAAACAGGAAGAAAAGCGCGCACAACGTCGGCGGGGCCGGAAGTGACGTCAAACAGAGAGGCCGGAACTAAATTACATTATCTCCCTTGTTGACGAATGGCGTCGGGGTCGCCATTGGGTGTGAAGTCGCCGCCGCCATCTTTGTTGTGGTCAACCACTACTTGCTCCAGCCTATGAGAAAATTAGTAACAAGAAGGATTTACAAACTTAGTCGACTTGAACTGTCGACTTATAAACTTCAAATTAGTTGGTATCCTCCGGAAGACTCAGTCACTCTCTTCCATGCTGTTTAGCGATCAAAAGAGAGATGTGAACCTGAAAAGATGCCCTATATTTGGAGAAAGCCTTCCCTTAGTCTCCTGCTGCACCGAAATCTCTGCCTGAGATGAAATTATTCTCAAGGCTAAACACACTCTAGGGACACCGGTCTCCTTTCGCTTTCTAAACCAGGCCAAACTTTTTCCTGTGCTTTTGCCTCTACACTTGCTGAAATGCCCTTCCCCAGAAGATGGAACGCCAGGAGATTTGTCTGAAGGTTATCTTCTTGTGAGGCCTTCATTAAACACTCAGAAGTGTCACTGTCTCCCCTCCGTTATATCTATTTAACACAGTGATTCCTTCTTTAGCCCCTGATTTGCTATTTATTTGTTTACACTTAATAGCCTTTCTCCCTCAGACAATGACACTTAAGAGTTGCTCAGTCATGTCCAACTCTTTGTCATCTTTTTTCTTTTTTTAATCTGTTCCTTCTTTAGTCTCTTTTAAATCCATTTTAGCTGCACTGGGTCTTACTTGTGATCCACTGGATCTTCATTGTGGCATCCAGACTCTTAGTTGCAGCATGAATGCAGGATCTAGTTCCCTGACCAGGGATCACACTCAGGCCCCCTGCATTGGGAGTGTGGCTTCTTATCCACTGGACCACCAAGGAAGTCCCTCTTGTCACTGATTTCTAATTTCAGTCCACTGTGGTCAGAGAACATACTTTGGTATGATTTCAATCCTTTTAAATTTATCAGGGCTTGTTTTATGATTTAGTATATGGTTTATCCTGGAGAATGTTCCATGTGCTCTTGAAAAGAAGAATATGTATTCTGTTGGTGGTGGTGGAGCTAATAGGCCTGTGTGTTAGCTGATCCATTTTTAAGTTCATGCTCAGATAAAGTAATTCTGTCGTCACTACAATTCACAAACATGGCCTCATTTCAGAAACCAGAATGCCTAGTATTGAGTATATCTAAAGGCATGGCCTTCTTTTATTCCCTTGTATTCAACATACTCCCTCCCTTTGCTGAAGTTCACTTTCAGGACTGCTCTCACTCTCTTCCTAAGCTGGTTATTCCCTGAGATTTCAGAAATAAATATCAGGATGTGCTGGACAAGCATCTCCTGTACAAATCAAATCTTTATCAACGATAGTCATAGCCACATGCTCTTCTTTTATAGCCCTTCCCAATACTTTTTCATCTTTAAATTTGATTAATGGCTATCTTCCCCCAGATGTGTATGTTTGAAGAGGCAAGAAACTTAATTTCCTCTCATTATCATATTCCTTACTGTATTTAAGAGGTCTCACCACACATAGTACTTCCTCGTAAAATATTTGTAGACTGAACATGAGTGAATGAGGAAAGAAGAAAAATCTGCAGGTGAAAATAGTTCATGGCCAGAAAGAATTTTAGCTCCAAAATATTGCCACTAGATGGCAGCAATAACCAGTACCAGAGCAGTTGAAGTGTCTGAATTCCTGGGTTTCAGACGGTTTGGATTTTCCCGACTTCTCAAGGAGCCTATCCTTTCCAATAGGCCTTTATTCATTAATCTCTATTAGACATCCCTTATTGACATGGTTAATCCAGACGTGTGAGTGTATTTGAAAGCAAGTAACACAAACCCCCAAAACAGCAGCTCCACAGCAGGCAGGGAGGTGTATAAATTTCAAATGTAACAGCCCAGGGCGGGGGTAGCTGCTCAGGGAAATCCTCAGTTAGCCAGGCTCCCTCTCAGCCTCAGTGAGATCCTTTCATCCTTGTGGTTTCAAGACAGGCACTACATTGCCAGGCTCTGTGAGCTCACCGGGGCAGGAAGAGTAGGGCAGAGCCAGAGGAAACAAGAAGTGTCCGCCGCGTGGACTTCTGCCTACCCCTCTGGGACAGAAAGGGGCCTTACTGCCATCCTCTGACAGCTGTGGAGGCTGGAAATGGGGTTGGTTTTAGTGTTTGATTATGGAATTAACCAAGAACGCATAAGGGAGAGTGAGCAAAAGCCAGGCATTAAGTTGACATTCCTCTAAGGCACTAGGCGAAAAAGCCCCTGGAAACAACAAAGAGTTCTGAAGAGGAGTTTAGAAGAACGACAGGAAGGAGACCTAAGAGACAAGAATAGCATCTATGGAAAAAGTGTTCATAAAATGTACAGTTTACCTAAGAAAAGGCTGAGCTGACTCTTGTTTACCTTCACCTTCAAACTCCAGTGTGTTTCTGAAAATTCCAACTCAGATTGAGGATCGCCTTTTTCAGGAAGTCTTTCCAGGCTTCTCTCTCCTTCTCACATCTGGTTTTTCTTTTTTTGGAAGGACAGTGTAAAGCAAAAGATTTTAAATTGTTTTAAATAGGGGAGCTGAGGAAAATAATAATTAACATTTAACAAGTGCTTACCATGTGCCAAGCACTGATGTCAATGTTTTTAATTAACCTTCCCAAGAACTCAGTGAGGTGTGTACTCTTTTTATTTGTGTTTTAAAGAGAAGGATATTGAAATTATCACACAGAGAGGAAGTGGTGGAGCCAGGATTTGCATAAAGGTCAGCTGGCTCCTGAGTCTACATTTTCACTTGTGTGGGTCTTAGTTGTGGCACATGGGTTCTTCTAGTTGCTGCTAAAAGGCTGTAAGATCTAGTTCCCTGAGCAGGGATCAAACCTGAGCCCCCTGCATTGGGAGTGCAGAGTCTTAGCCACTGGACCACCAGGGAAGTCCCTGCATCTACATTTTTAACTACTCTCCCGATACTGCTTCCAAGAACAATTTGACCACACTGCTTTTCAGAAGGCTCCAAAATGATGCAGTACACTCCATGAGTATGCCAGATGGTCCCAGTGGGAGAGAAGGAGAAATACTAAACTTTTCAAATTTCAAATTTTTTTTATATCTCATATCTTTAATTTCTATATCTGCATGTATTTAAAAAAGTACAAAATACATTAGTACTATAACTCTTTTCCAAAATTTGTAAATAAAATATGTAGATACAAAGTTTAGAGCTCTCAAGATTAGAGTTGCTGGCTTAAAAACCTGGTGCCGGTGAACACTTAGTCTGAATGTACATGTGTTACCAGGTCTCTGCAGGGGTGTGTTCATGGGAAAACAGACCAGAGGGATTGCTTCAGTTCCTTTGTGTGGCTGTAGTGAGGGCTCTGTGAACATACTCCCTGCTTTCCTCCTGTGCAATGGATGCTTCTTATGCACAGTCCATCCACCTGTCGGCTTTAGGATGACCTATCACAGCCCAGGGAGAAGGCTGAAGGGCATTGCTATCCTGCATCTCCCCCTGCACCCTCCTCGCCTTGAAACTCAATTCAGGCATCACCTCCCCTACCTTCCCCAACACGATCCCTCCCTCCCTCAGCCACACCCTCATGTCTGGAGGGGCTCCTGCTTCTTCTAGGGGGCCCTTAAAGTTGCTGTTCATTTTTCACATGTGGCACATGCCACCGAGTACAGAGATCCACCTGGCCGGACAGTGACCCCTTCAAGAACAGGGGTCCACATTTTCTTTCTGTCCTGGCCCTCAGCACAGTGCCTGGGCAAGATAGTGCATAGCAAATAACTTCATGGAGAAATGACTTTTCAGCAACTTCTCTGGCAACTCAGTGGGTCGTACTCTGCACTTCCACTGCAATGGGTACAAGTTCGATCCCTAGTCAGGGAACTAAGGTCCTACATGCCGTGCAGTGTGGCCAAAATAATAAGAGAGAAATGACTATTTCAGAGTTGGCTGTTCTGCTTTAGATGAGCAGACGTGTAGCCACCTTGCCAGCTGAATTAAGGTGGGTACACAAGACTCACTCTAAGCAGAGCAGCAGCTAGTGAGCTTCCTTTTCTCAGAAGCAGATTTACTGTGACATTAATGAAGCTAAAAGCTCAGGTTCCTTCACTTGCACAGGCCCCTTCCAAAGGCCTTGCATGGGACCCTTCACCACTGTTTCATAAAGTCATGTGTTTGGGTAAAATTTGCACAAGTAGAGATGTCTTCACCACAAACGGTTAAGATCACTGTGTTACTCCATGCCACTTTCCTCCTGGCCTACTTCGCTTCTTGAAGAGTGACCTTCAAGTGGCTGCAGGCAGTCTGGGGACCGAGCAGGTTAAGAAGAGAATACATTTAATTGGGGGTTAGTGGGATACACTTATGTGCTGCAATCCATTTCTGTGTGTGGTTAAGTTCTAGCTAGCTGTTAAGGTTTGAGAAGTATACTCCTATGGCTATCTGCTGACTCATGGGCCTCTTGACACAGAAATGCAGGCCAGCTGTCACATGATGACATGAATGTGTTCTCTGGTGCTGAGTGCTGGAAGGACACTGTTCGTGGAGGAGAAACCAGGTTTCAAAAGTAAGACATCAGTAACTAGAGTACAGAAAATTCTTTTAATCTTCAGATAGGTATAATTTTATTTTTTTATTTAAAAAATATTTATTTATTTGACTGTGCCAGGTCTTAGTTGGGGCACACAGGATCTTCAGTTGTGGCATGTGGAACCTAGTTCCCTGACCAGGGCTAGAACCCAGGCCCCCTCTATTGGGAGCGCAGAGTCTTAGCCACTGGACCACCAGGGAAGTCCCCAGATGGGTACAATTTTAAACAGAAGATTCAGTTCTTGATAATGTCTGGTTAAAACAGAAGTTGTCTTCTGCTAGGAATATATTC